AGTCGGATGCTTAACCGACTGCGCCACCCAGGCGCCCCTGGGTTGCTATTTTAAGTAAGATGCTTAATGTTTGAGCAAAGGCGAACATGGAGAAGTTAGTCCAGCGGGTATATGGAGGCAGACCATCGCACACATAAGGGACTGAGAATACGGAGGCCCTGGCGGGTCTGTGCAAGAATGCCAGTGTGGCCAAAGCACAGGATAAGAGGACATGGGTCACAAGAGGCCTTGGAGGGAAATAGGGAGCAGTTGCAGTTTTGGTCAGAGACGTGACAGATCCAGCATCTTTTAACACAATCATTTGGTTATTGTATCAATGCTGCTAACAGGCCAAATAAGATGAAGACTGAGAATTGTTGATAGTTTTTAGACAGAGAGAAGATAATACTTTTTTAAAAAGCTTGTTTCACTGCCCTATAAAAACAACCAGAGTTATGTGCTCACTTCGGCAGCACATATACTAAAACAATAATTAAAAAAATGTTTAAAAGCAATAAGAGTTATAAAAGAGAAGACTGTATTCATTTGTTTACTAAAGTCTTGTTGTCAGCATACTATGAGCCAGGCATGGAGAGAGCTGCTAAGAATAAAGCACAGAGTGCCACGGTGTGGATGGACCCAGAGGACACTGTGTGCAGTGACAGAAGACAGACACAGAAGGTATGTCCTGTGTGACTCCACGCACAGGGGGTCCCTAGAGGAGTCCCATCCAGAGCACTGGTGGGATCCAGTGCTGGGACAAAGAGCGGGGAGTCAGTGTTTCATGGGGACAGAGTCTCAGTTTGGGGAGATGGAAAGTTCTGGAGACAGATGGTGGGAGTGGCTGCATGACAGTGTGAGTGTTGCCTGATGCTGCTGAACTGTGCCCTTAAGAGTGGTTAAAATGGTACATTTAATTTTATGTATATCTCACCACAACTAAAAAATTTTAAATTTCTTTTTTAAATGTTTGTTTATTTTGAGAAAGAGATAGAGTGTGAGCGGGGGAGGAGCAGAGAGAGAAGGAGACTGAAAACCCCAAACAGGCTCTGCATTGACAGCTCAAACGAGGGGCAAAACCCCACAAACTGTGAGGTCATGACCCGAGCCAAAGAGTCAGATGCTCACCTGAGCCACCCAGGCACCCCCCCCCCAAATTTTCCATTAATGGAGTATAAAACGAACCCT